AGGGCTGGATGGCCGGAAAGGCCCGGGAGGGCGGGGGCGAGGGTCTGGCAAAGCCCTCTTCCGTCTCCCCCAGGTTTGTGTCATCCAACTAACTCCCCACCCTCGAGTGCCACTTAGTCTCCAGGAGGAGGCGTCATAATAGTACAGCTTAGCTTGGGGCTTTTGGAAGCTCGGGCTGCTTTCAAACCCAAAGGTCCCAAGCCAGGGAACCTTGCTCCGAGGGACCCTCCCCGCCCCCACATCACTGATCCTGGGGATAGGAAGCACACCAAAGCAGAGATTTTCCCCAAAGCACCTCCCTACTCGGGCAGGTTTAGACAGCGAAGGGTGGTGGCCTGAGGCATAGGCCACACCCTCAAGAAGCAAGATGGAGACCAAGGTAAGAGGTTGACCGCTCTGCAAAATGTGGAGGCAGAGGTTAGCATCAGGACTCGAGGCTGGGCTCAAGCTGGCCCTTGTTAAAGATCCACCTTGGGCCCCAGCTCAGCCCCACTCCGTGCTGCAGATGGCATCCCCAAACGTCTACTACTGACAGCAAGAACTCAGGGGTTAAAGGCGCAGGCTCCAGCAACCAGCCCGACTTTGGAGACTTACTTAGCTACCTGTCTGCGGTTGGACATAAGTTCCTCAGAAGTCCCCCCAGGTCCAGGGCTCAGACAGGTAACAGCCCAGAAGGGCAACCCTTGCTCCCTGAGGCAAACAGTACCCTGCCTTGCTCTGGGGAAGTCACTTCCTCACAGCAACCCAGAGGCAGTGGATGAACACAAACTCTTTCCTGTGACAAACTTGTGCTATGACTCAGGGCAGCTGTGCCCAACAAAGTGATATGCAAAGAGATCTTACTTGTCCCTATAGAAAGAAGCCGAAGTGGCCGAGATACAGACGTGAGGCTGGACCTGCCAAAGGTCCCTCTGCTGCCTTGGGGAACTTGGCTAAACACCCAGCCTTTGCTTCCAACAAGCCAAAGTGACGGGGGTGGGGAAGGGGAGAGGGAGGGTGGTGATGATGGAAAGCTATGGAAACCCAAAGAGTTTGTTAAGATATTTTATTTTATAATCAAAATAGGCAATACAAACAAGTTGACATAACAAAGATTCATATAAATAACTGGTTATAAACTTTATGAGGAGAAATACCCGTGAGCATGGTGGCAGGGCTCCCAACACAGGGTGGAGACCAACCAGGCAGCTCTGCTTTTAGGAGGCAGAAGCCCAGAGGCTGAGGGGATGGCTGGGTGGGGCTGCTCTGAATGGAAGGGATAAGTCACTCCATAAATAAAACACAAACTTGTAAAAACACTTAAGAAGGAGCCTCATTCAGGCCCAGGCGTGAGATCTAGGATGCTGCCAACAGCCCAGAGCTTAGTAAGAATCTTGTCTGGGACCCTGAACTGCTTTGAGCACTCCCATACCCACGTATGGCCCCTGCTTGGCCTGGCTCCAGATCTAGAGGAGGCATGACTGGTGCAATAACCAGATACAATTGTGTGATGCTCCCTAAACCAGGACACAGATGAGAGCCAAGGGTCCAAAGGCCCCAGTAAGAGAAACACACAACCAACCAACCAACCAACCAACCCAGAAAACACTGAGAGCTGTACCTTAAAGCTGACTTGTACTGGGTACTCTGAACTTTTAAGGAAGCCAGAACAGGAAAGGAAAAGGACCTACCCCACCCTGGTTTGCCCCAAACACAAGAGAGGCACAAATCAAGAGGGCTGGACACAGGCTCTACCTAGCCCTGCATGAGGGGTTAAGCAGCTTGACAGTTGCCCTATGGCCTGGGGGGAAATTTTGCCCAAGCCCAGAACCATAGAGAAGAGTTTCCACTTAAAGCCCAGGAAGGGGGCTACCTGAAAGGCCTGAGGACAAAGGAGAAGGGGGCTATGCTAACCACATGGCTAGGGTCCCAAGGAAACAGGGCAGCTAGAGTGGGGTCTCCTGTAAAATGGCACGGTAGGTAGATTAAGGAGTCCCGGCTGCAAGCTCTAGGCCCACAATCCTAGTGGGTATGCTGCAAGTGAACATATTGCCCTGAGGCTTCTGGGAGGACAAGAGCCCTGAGGAAGAAGTAGTGGGACCAGGCCTGAGAAAACCCCAAAAGCCAGCTCAGTTCCCAGGATGGCTGGCACATGGGGCTTAAGAATTCTCAAATGGCTACTGTTACTGGTACTTGGTCTTTCAGGACCCTCTAATAAGCTCTCTAATCAGCAGGACCAAGGTATGAAGTGGGAATGAATGTGGATCCATCCCAGAGGATGGAGAAGAAAGGCGAGCAGCTTGTTTGTCTCAGCCTAAAGCTGAGAACGGTTTGTGAGGACTTATGCGCTGCACCTGGCAAAAGTTAATAAGTAACTCACCCTAAGAGTGAATTAAGATAACAGGACAAACGTAGTCCAACAAGGCAAAGCCAGTGTAGGGTAAGACAGGCAGAGTTCCCTAATCAAGCCTTGGCCCCCGGTGCAGGCTCTCCCTTCCCCTCTGATTCTTCTTTCTGGGAACAGCAGCAGATCGGAGGCAAGAGATTGTAAGGGCAGGAACCTGCTAGACTAGGCTCTCAGCAGCCCAGATCTTCCCCGGGGGAATACAACCTGTCCCACCCCCAGCATTCCTACTGTGTGACACAGTTTTCTCCCATGTCCTGGGCATATCTGTCTGACATGGTGGTTCTTAAATCCTCGATGTCATGACGCAGCTGCTGGACCTCTTCTAGTTTCCTTCTGATCACCTCTGGTTTCTGCAAGTCTAGTTGAGTCCCTGGGTGCTGTGCTGCTGGAGACAGGAGCATTTCAAGAGAATGTTAGTAAGTCAGTTGGGACACACTTTCGTGTGGAGGGGGCAGTATGGATAGGCAGGACCTTGAGGCCCATGGTCTTGGGACATGGCACTTTTTAAAGAGCAGTTGGGGATAGTGGGCTGATAATTTCCTGCTTCGAGCCTACTTTCAGTTTTTCCTGCATGCAGATACCCCATAGGATGCCTGTTTCCAAAACATTTGTGAAACATATAAACTTTTAGAGGCAATGACCAGGCCTATGCACCCAGGACACATTACCATAAATACGGGAAAGTGGGGTAGGAGTGAGAAGAGAGTAAAGGCTTATCTTTCCCCGGTTCCAGACTGGTTTGAGGACTCACAGTGAATGCCTAGGAGCAGGGAGAGGTTGGGGTCATGGCCCTGGGCCCTCTGGGTCACAATGCTGCAGACAGCCTGCAGATCTTGAAGGCAACTAGCCAACTCCTGGTGTAGCTCGAGTGCCAGCTGGGCTGTGTCTGGTGAAGACGGAGGCCCTGGTTGGGCCTGGCGCAGGTGTTCCTGAAGTGTCAGATTTTTCTCAATCAGGTCCTGGTTTTGCACTGAAAGCTGAGCAGACAGATGGGTAAGGACATTAACCCAGGCCTAGGGAGAGAAAGAGTGTCTGTGCATGAGTGTGTGTAGGTGTGGATATATATACATGTGTGTGGAGGGGAGAAGAGTCACAGGCAGTGTCCCCCCTCCCCACCCATCCCTGTCAACAGGCTTAGTGCTTCCCCCAATATCAGGCCTGGTTCTTCTGAGGGTAGGCTGGGCCCACAGGGCTCCAGCACTGGAGAGGAAGTACTCCTCAGCAGGTTCTGAGTCATCAGCCTCCACGTTTCTGTTCAGGAACCAGAGGAGATGCTCCCGCCCCTAGGAACTCTATCTGAAGCCAGTCCTTCAGCCAACTCTGTTAGCCAGGCTATTAGAGAAGGCTCAACGTGAACCGTGAAATCTGAGGAGACACTGGTTTCAATCTCTCCCTGCCACCCTGACAAAAGTGGCCACCAGCCAGCCTGATCACAGCGTGTCAGAAGAATAAAGGGGGCAAGAAGCTGGGCATGGTGGCTCACACCTGTAATCCTAGTACTTTGGGAAGCAGAGGCGAGAGGACTGCCTGAATCCAGGGGTTCGAGACCAGCCTGGGGAACTTGGCAAGGCCTTGTCTCTACAATTAAAAAAAAACAGTTGAATGTGGTGGCGCACTTCTGTGGTTCCAGTTACTTGGGAGGTTGAGGCAGAAGGATCACCTGAGTCCAGCAGGTCGAGGCTACGGTGACTGTAAACATGCCACTGCACTCCAGCCTGGGCATCAGAGTGAAGCTCTGACTCAAACAAAAAAAGGGGGGGGAGGGGCAGAAAGACAATATGATAACTAGTGGCCACTGGGGGGGGCTGGAGAAGCTGGGGACCTGGAGGATCTAGTGCTGGGGCTGTCCCTCACCTCAGTGGAGTGAGGCTTCACTATAAAAACCAGCTACTCATGTATGTATCTCTTTCCCTCCCTCTTCCTGACAGCTCAATCCACTCTCCTTCCCTCTCTACCTTTATTTTGTTTTACAGTCTGAACAGAGTTCCTCCTTCAGTCGCAGCCCCTCCACCCCACACTAGGCCACAAGGCAATCTTAGCTTGGGATGCCATCCTAGGCACTTGGCCAATGAACTTGGTTGCCCCCTGCTGACAGCTCCGTTTACAGCATGAGGACACCAAATCCTCAGTCTTCTTTAACCCTCCCTCCCTAACCCCATGAACCTGTGGCTGCAGGTAAGTAAAGGGAAACAGAATGACTTTCCACATCAATAAGCATTGCTGGATAATTATGGACACTCTAAGACAGGTTTAGGGCCTTTAATACAAAGGATGATACAAAGCATCTTCCCATTCTTCCCAAAAAATTCAGTAGAGCCCTCTCAAACACTGGGGCTCTTATGGTAGTAGGGATGGGTAGGGCACGCCAGGAAATCAGATTTGTGGAGGCAGAACCAAAAGGCCTGACTAAGGCTGCTCACCTCCTTCACGGCTGTGCGCAGCTGCTGCAGGGCTGCATCCCTCCGCTGGGCCTCCTCTCTCAGGGCCTGGCTTGTTCCTTCTTCTTGAGCCATCTCCTGCTCTAGGCTCTGAATCCCACAACAAGATGTTGAAAGAGAACATACCAGGAGTAACAAGTCTGGTTCAGACCTTATCACTGCTAGCCTGGACTATACAGTAAAGCCTCGCCCTATCTATATACTGCTGCTAAGAGGTTTAGAACAGCCCTGATTTGTGACTTCCCATTTAAACTCTCCTACAGCCCTTAACTGCATGCCAAACAGAGGCCAGCCTCTCAGCAGAGCATTCCTACCAACATCCTGCTCCTACCAACTCCTCTTCTAGCCATACCTTTGCCCGCCCTCCACAGGCCCCATCCAGCCACACTGAATGGCCTTCATCCCCAAAGGCGGCAGCGCCAATGCCTTTGCGCACTCCCTTCCCCTTTTCTCGAGACGTCCTTCTGCTGTCACCCCAGGAAAGCTCTGAAGTCCACCTGAGCCCTTCCCCATCTGCAAATCAGATCCAGTTAATCCCAACCTTACCCTGCCACTCATTCTATCATGGTTCATGAGTACATCAACTTAATATTCTAGTTGGCTGGGCACATGATTCCTCCCTCCACACAAACATAACTTTCTTGAGGGCAGGGAATGTACTACTCAGTTGAGTTCAGTATTTATTGAGCACTTACTGTGACAAACACTGAGGATATGGAACAGAACACCAAGCAGTCTCTATCTTTGGGGGTTAACAGTTAAGTGCTCTTGACAATATTGTGTATTAATGTTTTTAAGAGACACGGAAAGGGGTAGGAGAGTACCAACCTACACAATGGCAAAGGCAAGACTGCAGCCTTCAGCTTTTCCTCAGAGTGACTGCATTGCGGGTGTTTTGGTGTGAAAACTTATTTTAGAGTCTAAAGAGAACCTGAGTGAACCTGCTTTACCCAGAAGAACCCAATTAAGGACACTCCCACTCTCCCAAAATTAGAAACCAGTTGTCTTTGAATCTTCCCTATTCTTCGAGCCCCTGCATCCTCTCAGTGTTAACTCCTAAAGCATTTAAATCTGTTTCCTCACTGCCCCCCCGCATGCTGCCTTATGTCAGGTTCCCTTATCATCTTTCCTAGACTTTCTCCAATAGTTCCCTAGCCTTGCCTCTTTCCAGGCTGCCAATCTTCTTCCATACTCAAGCCTGAACTGAAAGCCTGACCACATCACGTCTCAATTAAATGCTATAATAGATGCCTACCTAAAGAATAAATGCTAGCCGGGCTCGGTGACTCAGCCTATAATCCCGCACCTTTGGGAGGCTGAGTTGAGTGGATTGCCTGAGCCTGTGGGTTCGAGACCCGCCTGGGCAGTGAGACCTCATCTCTACAATAAATCAAAAAATCAGCTGGGCGTGGTAGCGTGCACCTGTAATTCCGGCTACTTGGAAGGCTGAGGTGGAAGGATCGCCGGAGCCCAGCAGGTCGAGAATGCAGTGGCCGGGAGCGGCCACTGCACTCCAGTCTGGGCGACAGAGTGAGACTCCAACTCAAAAAAACCAAAAAACAAAAAACAACAAAAAAAAAGAATAAATGCTAACTCAGTTGCTATCAAAGCCCTCTCAGACTAGAACACCCAGGTCTCCACTCACTACCTCAAACTGAATATTTCAACAGTATCAAACTGTTTGCAGTTCCATGTTCATACTATGCTGTTCCTTCTATCTGGAATTCAATATATCCTATCCAGCTTCTCTTTTTTGCCTGGCTAACTCCTCATCCTTCAAGGATCAGGATCTCCAGAAAGCTGTCCTTGACCTCCTCTCCTCCCACTGACTCTTCTGTGCTCTTTCTCCCAGAGTGAAGTGGGTACTGCTCTCATGGTGCTTTACTGTGTTGAAACTCCTATTAGTGTCCTCCCAACAAGGCTTGAAAGCACTGACTGGGTCTCATTCTTCTTGTATCTTTATGCTGAGCAATTGCATGGCAGAGAACAAAATAAAATGCTGTCTTAATTGTCAGACTCCATCAAGTCCTGCCACCATGTCCCAAGGATTTCCACTCACCTGTACTTGAGAGCGCAACTGATCTATCTTCTGCTGTTGCTTCTCCACAACCTGAAAGGCAAAGTTAGCATGAAAGGCCGCAAGCACAAGGTTGTTGGTGAGGTCGGAGGGTAAGGGGCTGCACTAGGATCCATGGTCTAGCTATTAGCCCCCCTGGCTATAGCCCATTAGTAGTGAGACCAGAGTGAAGACTAATTAGTTCTACCTACAGAAATATAAACAGGACTCCTAATCCTGGCTAACTAGATTGACAATTCAGTGCTCCAATCACAAAGGTTTATACAGAACTGTAGTGTGAACCCATGGCCACTACTGAGGGAAAGGGGACCCTCACCCAATGACTGCAGACCAGTGGAATCAACTTCATGTAGCCAGTACACATTCTAATTCTTTGGTACAAAAAAAAATGGCTAAAAATTCAGTTTAATGAATCCCTGCCATTTCAAGAGCTGTGACGGTTGTTATTTATATATAGCTCTGGACACACTAGTTATCCAAGGAGAAACCCCAAGCAGGCCTGGCTTCCTAAGTCTATTAAGACCACAGGTATTCTCTAAATCATTTTTGGGTCTTACTTTTGACTAAGTTGTGATTAATTTCACCAACAGGTCCCTTGGCTCCCTCTACTCTGCTGAATTCAGAAACCAGGCAACCTCACTGTTGGAACTCTGTCCAACGTAAAAGATTCTGCCCATGAATGAAGTGCAACATGGGTCTGTGCCATGAATGAAGTACAACAAACTTTAGTGTGCCATTTTGGGTCACCTAGTCTGGCTGTTCAGAGGCCTATCTCCCCTTACGTCTACCTGTATTCTAGATGAGTAAAGTCTGCCTGTTTCAAGGATGAATATCTAAATGCAAACTTACTACACAGGGGCAATTTCTCAGAAAAGAAAGTTCTCAATAATAAATCCTAGTTGGCCTAAGGCTAGGAATTCATGGTTCCTTCCCAATATACAATCTTCTCTTTCCTCCCAACCTACCCCGCATGACAGTCTGAACACCCTCAAGTCACCTTTCGCAGGGAGTCACATTCCTTCTGCCAGGACTCCATTTCAAGTTTTGGACCATCTCCACTGGTCTCATCCACAGACTGCTTATCTTGCAGGCTGAAAGACAGTGGTTTCGTCAAGAACTTTGAAGTCAGAGAGATGTGACTTTGACCCCTGGGGTTCTGTTATTTATTGTTTTAGTGTAAGACACTCTTAGGTCTGTTGTATATAGGGGGAGTCACACAGAAGCTACTCAGTGTATGTTAGTTCTCTTCCCTAGGGACCAGAATCAATACAATGTGACACCAGTTCTCTATATGCCTAAGCCTCTTGTATGCTGTTTGTTCTGATATTTAAAAAAATAACATTTATCACATATTGAGATTATAAAAGTCATACATGTATATTGTAGAAATTTTGGAAAATACAAGAGCTCCTGTTTTCTTGCCACCATAGTCCCCTAACCCTGCTTCTGACTCCTAACAATGGTCTCCTCCAAAGGGTCCCCATAATTACTTACAGCATGGTCCATCTGCTGAGATAAACAACAGGGACACTGTGGTTAAATATGGGATGAGAAATCCAATCCATTCCATTAGGAACTGGATTTGGTCCAAGAGACTGTTGAAACACAGCCATTATTTTCAGAAACTGCTATTAATATGGAAGAGGCTCCCAAGACACCCTGAGAGTACATTATGGCATCTTGTTTTGTTCTCAGACCTGTCATGGCAATGCAGAGTAATCCCTAGGGCTGAGAAGAAACAGATGCTCCTGCTAGCCTTTAGCTTACTAGATTCAAAATGTGGATAATCCTCAGTCTTCAGCACCAGGATCCACTTTTGAAAATATACAGATACCTAATTTCCCAGTTTATAAAGTACTTTCATTCATTCAACACATATATACTCAAGAATTATGTGGTAGGCACTGGGTTGGATCTTCCCAAAGGAACAACAAGCCCCCAGTGCATCTCCACTCTTATCTCTGCCCACAAGCAGCTTTCCTTTTATTCACAGTCCAAAGAAAACAAAGCTCAGAGAAGTAAAATGATTTGCCCAAAGCACCTATAAGTCACCCAAGTAAGTGTGTAGGGTAGCTAGGACCAGAAACTAGCTCTCCATTTCTTACCTCAAACCCACAGGGGTATTTACCTATGTGTAGTGGAGAATTCTGTTTCTTTCTGTCTTAGGCTTTCCAGTTGAACTTCCTTCTCTCTGCAGACTGTCTGGGTCTCCTCCAGCAAATTTTCCAGCTCAGTCACTCTCTCTTGCAGCTCTGTGATCTTCAACTCAGAATCCTTAAGCTGAGAGATTGGATCCCATGCTTAGGTCAATAAGCCAAGGAAGACTGTCTGGATACCTCAAAAAATTTGCAGTCTAGTTGCAAATTTGACAGATGTGAATCTGGACATGATTTCTTTGGAATTCTCCTTTTAGGGAGCTGCATACAGCAGATCTAAAAAAGTTCCCCTGAATGGCCACTCCCTGATTGCCCCAGGTTTGCCCAAATATTGTTGCTACCTGCTGGCTCTGCTTCTGATGGTCTTCCAGTGTGGGTAGGTCAGCCAGGTAGCGCTCCAAGGTCTCAATGCGCTGCTGCTTCTCCCGGTTCTGCTCTGATTCCTTCTGACATTTCTTTTTCAGATTATTGATATGTTTATCACGACCCTTGACCTATGGAAAGAACTGTCAAGAGTTTGTCTCCATTCCCTTTTCTAGGACACTTAATATCAACTTTTTTTTTTTCTTCCTTTTTTCACAAGCATGGCTCACTGCAGAACTCAGACTATCCTTTCACTTCAGCCTCCCAAGTAGCTGGGACTACAGGTACATGCCACCACACTCAGCTAATTTTTTGATTTAAAAAAAAAAAATTTATAGAGACGAGGTCTTGCTATGTTTCCTAGACTGGTCTTGAACTCCTGGGCTCAAGCAATCCTCCCACCTTGGCCTCCAAAGCCAGTGTCTGCCCAGCTTTTTTTGAAGTAACCACTGTTTCTGCCCTTGGGGCTGTAAATGTTCTACTGCAATGAAGATAAGAAGTTGATCAAATTATGCCATTTGAGATTAAGGAATAACCTAAAGAATTAACAAGCTTTCTAATCAAGGGCAGAGAAGAAAAGCCCCTTGGGCAGCTTTTAAAAACCGACAGGGCTAGCTGGGCACAGTGGCTCACACTTGAAATCCCAGCACTTTGGTAGGCCAAGGCAGAAGCATCACTGAGTCCATGAGTTTGAGCCTAGGTAACATAGGGAGACCTCGTCTCTATGAAAAATTAGCCAGATGTGGTGGTGTATATAGTCCCAGCTACTCAGGAAGCTAAAGCAGGAGAATCATCTGACCCTAGGAGGTTTAGGCTGTGGTGAGCCGTGATTGTGTCCCTGTACTGCACTCCAGCCTAGACAACAGAATGAGACCCTGACCCAGGGGAAAAAAAATAGCACTTCTGTTTGTCTGGTCTTTGTTCCAGGTTCTTGGGAGGTAACCTCTAAGCCCTTGGAATTTTCTGAATAATTGGAGAGGAATAGGCCAGAGCCCACCATGAGTAAATTTATTCTAGTAAGATAATCCAAAATGCAGACAAGTTACCAAAAAAAAACCCAACTGCCTGGAGCCTAATCTGCTGTGGGAAGGAGAAGTGGATGGAGATTGAGTTCAATCTTGCCTACATAAATGAAACTCCAATTAAAAACTGGATATCAAAGCTTGGTGGAGCTTCCTGGTTGGTGAACACATAAATGTGCTGTGTTCACATGTCCTGATTCCATGAAAAGGCACAAAGTCTTTGCTTTTAGGATCCTCCCAGATCTAACTCTATGTCTCTTCATATGGCTAGTCTTGAATTGTATCCCTTATAATAAAAATTTAATCATAAGTATAGTGCTTTGCTGAGTTCGGTAAGTAGTTCTAGGAAATTACTAAACCTGAAGGTCATCAAAACCTACAGATTTGTAGCCAGTTGGTCAGAAATATGGATGGCCTGGGGACCCCAGAATTTGCAGTTGGCATTTGAAGTAAGCACAGTCTTTTTTTTTTTTTTTGAGTTGGAGTCTCACTCTGTCACCCAGACGAGTGCAGTGGCTGCTCCCAGCCACTACAGCCTCGACCTGCTGGGCTCTGGCGATCCTTCCGCCTCAGCCTTCCAAGTAGCTGGAACTACAGGCACGCGCTACCATGCCCAGCTAATTTTTGATTTATCGTAGAGATAAGATCTCACCAAGTTGCCAAGGAGGGTCTCGAACCCACGGGCTCAGGCAATCCACTCACCTCAGCCTCCCAAAGCGCTGGGATTACAGGCTGAGCCACTGAGCCCAGGCAGCACAGTCTTTATGGAGACTGTGCCCTTAACTGTGGAGTCTGACACTAACTCCAGGTGGTCTGCATCAGAACTGAATTGCAGTAGTATAACTTCCCAATAATATCTAACCATTCTGGTCGTTCTGGTAAGAAAGGCAATACATTCTTCCCTAAATCCCACACGATTTAAAGCCAAGTAATCAACTGAAAGAACTAATGAGACTTGAGAGGAAGAGCTGTGTCCATTTTGCTAATTACTAAATCCTTAACACAAAGCACAATGCTTGGCACAGAGCAGGTACTCAATAAAGATTTGTTGAATAGAGATTTCTTTACTATTTTTTTTTTTTTTGAGTTGGAGTCTCACTCTGTCGCCCAGTTTGGCGTGCAGTGGCATGCTCACAGTCACCACAGCCTCGACCTGCGGGACTCAAGATATCCTTCCACCTCAGCCTTCCAGGTATCTGGAAACACAGGTCCGTGCCACCACGCCTGGCTAATTTTTAGATTTATTGTAGAGATGAGATTTCACTAAGTTGTCCAGGCTGGTCTCGAATCCCTGGACTCAGGCAATCCTCTTGCTTCAGACTCCCAAAGTACTGGGATTACAGGTGAGAGCCACAATGCCAGACCTGAGATTTCTTTACTGTTATGGTATTTTTATTTTGCTTATGAACAAGAAGGCTGAGGGAAGCAAGAGAAAACAGAAAAACGTGATGCAGATCACTAAATTTCAAAGAGGAGGCACAAGTCTAATTTAATCCAATGATATAATAGTACTAAGAAGATTCCTGGCCGTGGTGGCTCATACCCTCTAATCCCAGCACTTTGGGAGACTGAGGTTGGAGGACTGCTTGAACCCAGGAATTCAAGACCAGCCTGGGCAACACAGGGAGATGACATCTCCATTTTTTAAAAAATTAAATTTAAAAAAATTTTAATAAATACTTTTTAAAAAGAGATCCCTGAAAATAAACTACCCCAGGTCCAATCTGTATCCTTAAAGCTTTGAACCAGTGATTTTCACATTTCAGTATGCATCAGAATCACCTAGGAAGCTTACTGAAAATGCCTGAAAACCAACTTTGGATTTTGAGAAATGTTCAACTGCTGGTAACAGTGGCTCATGCCTGTAATCTTAGCACTTTGGGAGACTGAGTTGAGAGGATCGCTTGAGAACAGGAGTTTGAGAACAGCCTGGGCAACATAGCAAGAATCCTCTCTCTAGCAAAAAAAGAAAAAATTTATCTGGGCATGATGACACTTGCCTATAGTCCTTGCTACTCAGGAAGCTGGGAGGGCAGATCGTTTGAGCCCAAGAGTTTGAGACTGTGGTGAGCTATGATTGCATGATATCCTTGCACTCCAGCCTGGGTGACAGAGCAAGAACCTTGTCTCTTAAAAATAAATAATAAATAAAATAAAAAATGGTAAGCTGATCATAGATTAATCTCTCTTCTCCCTTCCAAAACATCTTTTGTTGTTGCTGCTGTTGTTTTAAGTTAGGGTCTTACTCTGTCACCCAGGCTGGAGTGTGGTGGGGCAAGATCACAGCTCACTGCAGCTTTGGGCTCCTGGGCTCAAGTGATCCTCCCACTTCAGCCTCCTGAGCAGATGGGACTACAGGTGCAGACCACCATGCCCAGCTAGTTTTTAACTTTTTTTGTAAAGACAAGGTCTCACTATATTAGCCAGGCTGGTCTTGAACTCCTGGACTCAAGCAATCCTCCTGCCTTGTTTTCTCAAAGTGCTGGGATTACAGGTGTGAACCACCACACCATGCCTGGCCTAAGACATCATAAGAAGACAGGAAGGAAAGACGGTATTAACTTAAAAGACAATAGGGGAGGAGACAAAAGTTTATGAAAGATCTTAATATGTTTCAAAAGATGAGAGTGAACAGAGGGGGATAAATGACTTTGAGCAGAACAGTTATAATATGCAGTGGGGACAACAAAAAGACAATGTGCCCCTCACAATTCCCAAGAGCCTCTGAACTTGAAGCACCAGCTAGCTATGGAGGCAGGTATCAGTCACAGATCTGAAAAATAGGAGAATTTGGTGGAAATCTATATACAAGTTAGCCGGATACCACCCTCACCTTGGAATTCCTCAACAGGAGAAAAGAGATTTATCTCTGGAGAAACCAAATGTGAGATTCTAGAATCAGGGATACTAATCACAGGGGGGAGAGAGAGAGAGAGAGAGAGAGAGAGAGAGAGAGAGAGAGAGAGATGAAGCATTGGTTGAAAATAAATAAAAGTAAAAATCTATGTATAGAATTGTGGATCAAGAGTACAAGAGCCAAAAGCCTTCCAACATCCAGCCTCCCAGCCAAGCAACAGGATGAAGACTCTTCACTAAAGAGAATAAGAGAAGACATCCAGATACTGACATTTAAGGGTTCCCAAGTGAAAAGGGTAGTCTAAATCTGATCCTACAGTAATGTGCAACAGATAACTAACATGAACCCAGAGCTTTCATCTAGCTTTTAAATGCTTCATTCTTAAATGTAAGTGCCCATTCATTCAATGATCACTAAGCCTCTAACATGAAAGACACTAAAACAGAAAGGACCTTAAGGAAACAAGAAAGAATACTATAGGCAGATGTAGACATCCGAAAAAAAAGCTATAATCAATATTGTCAGAGAGATATTATAACCATGAAACAAAAACAGATGTCTAAAATTCATTTTAAAAAATGCAATAAAAGCATACTATTCAGTATATACGGGGAACTGGTTCCAGGATCACCTTTGTATTCAAAATCTGCACACACTTAAAGCCTGTAGTCAGCCCTGTGGAAACCCTGTACCTGTATGTCAGTCAGTCCACCATATACTTGAGTTTTACATTCCTCAAATACTTTATTCTCGATTTGTGTTTGGCTGAAAAAAAATCCGTGCATAAGTAAGTGGACCTGTGTGGTTTTGTTCCAGGGTCAACTATATAGAGAAGGGGAAAGAGAAGAGTTGAGGACAGATACTATTGTAGGGTTGGGCTAGGGCACAAAACTACTAATTTTTGTTATAATTTTTAATAATTTATTATAATTTTAATTATAAACCTATTGGTATTTGATTATTTAACTTAGATACATGAATTTTTTAAAATTCTTGTTTAACAAGCCCTTTAGGTCCCTCCTGTAGCAATAGCACCATCACCATCTGGGAGCTTGTTAGAAATGCAGGATCTCAGGCGAGCTCTCAGAACTACTGAATCTGATGTGCATTTTTAACAAGATCCTCAAGTGATTTGGAAACACATTAAAATTTGAGAAGTATTGCTCTAGTTGTTTTAATACAAAAGGTCCAGAACTAAATATTACTGAACTAGTCCCCCCAGAACATGTACATTAGAGAAAGCTGTAAATTGGGAGGTACCAACAAAAATAGAGTACTTTAAACCAGCTTCCATTTGAGCATTGAAAGTAAGGTAAAAAATAATAATTATAAATAAAAATAAAATAAACCAGCTCCTCTGATGATGACCATTCTTGTCCTATGGCAATTCTAAGAGCACTGGCAAAAATAAACTCCCAAACTAGTTACACGCATAGGACTTTTCTCTATTTTTTAGAAGGAGTAAGGAGAAATTAGACTGAACAATGTAAATTTACCACATTCTGCAACAGTGCCATCTGGTGTGAGTGCTCAGGCTGGTTTTCCACCCAGGCCAGATAGCGGTACATCACAACCTGGGACAGCGAGGGGTTATACAACTTTCCCTGGCTGTCATGGATTTGTGGAGATAAAGCAGAAAAGAGGGATTCCATTTGTAGCTAATCAGTTCTGCATGAGAAGCCAGTGGAGGGTCTCACCCAATGGCTCCTCCTGGTTCCAGGAATAGGGACCAGAAACAGCCTAGGTTTTAGAAGAGCAAGCTGACTGCCAACTGTTACAAATTAGAGAGCTATCAGCTCCTCATCTCACCCTTTCTTCTTGTTTCTTCCCCTCCTCAGAATGCTTCTGCAATGCCACTCTGAGAGACTCTCTGATGAGCTGGACTTCAACTTCTGAAGCAGAGAGTTTCTTTTCAAGTTCAATCTTTTCTTTGCTCAAGGCTTCTGTCTTCTGTGCAAACTGTGCACGCAAGAATGTGTTCTCTCGCTGCAATTCCTGCCAGAAAGATTTTCAATATGTAACTGTTCCCTCCCCTTATAGTCCTTTACTTATGCACAGTATACTTCATGGTCAAATATCATCTTTTTCCAAAAATTTCTTCAAGCAGTATTTCTCAAAGTGTGGACCTAGGACTAATAGCATCAGCATCACCTAATGCTGGAAACTGTTAGAAATGCAATCTCTCTAGCCTAACTCCTGGGCCCACTGAATCAGAAACTCTGGGGACGCATTCCAACAATCTGTGTTTTAATTAGCCCTCCAGGGCAGGCATGGTAGTTAAAGCCTGTAATCCTGTACTTTGGGAGGCAGAAGTGAGAGGATTGCCTGAGCCCAGGGGTTCGAGACCAGCCTAGGCAACTTGGTGAGAGCTCATCTCTATAACAAATTTAAAAATTAGCTGGACATGGTAGCACGTGTCTGCAGTTCCAGCTACTTGGAAGGCTGAGGCAGAAGGATCACCTGAGCCCAGCAGATCAAGCCTGAAGTGGCCCGTGAGCATGGCATTGCATTCCAGCCTGGGCAACAGAGTAAGACTCTGACTCAAAAAAAAAAAGCCCTCCAGGTGATTCTGATGTATGCTTACATTTTGAGAACCACTGCCTTAAAACAATATCTAAAGGTGTTGCATAATGGAAGGAACACAGGACAAGACATCAGAAAACTTGGGTTCAAGGCTCCCCTCCTCTCATTCTCTATATAACCTCAGGCAAGTTCTTCTTCCTTCCTGGACTTCAATTTTTTCAACAGTAAATTAGATGACTGAACTAGATTTTATCTAAGGGCCTTTCACACGCTAACATTCTGATTCTATGAGATACAATACTGCCTTAACAGGCCCACTAGGCAGCAAATCCAGTACTATAATCTAGCAAACACCTAACTCAAAAGCCCAAACTGCAGAAGCCTAGTCAACAAAGCAGACTTTTTTCAAACTCTCAACCCCCACAGTCACTGATCTCAGTGAGAATATGGTTTTCTTTAGTTGCTACTTAGACATGGAGGAATAAAAATCAGAATGGCTCTAAAACCTCCATGACCTTCGCTTCTCTCTCCATTTGGCCAGGGATGGCAGATTAAGACTTCTCAGAACATTATCCAACTCTAGGATCTTACTATCTACCTTATTCTGCCTTCCTTTTCTCCCAAGTATGTCCTGACACCAAGGCATCTGGACTTTTGCTTGGTTCTACTCTTAAGCCTTTTCTGTCCCCACAGGGACCTGATAAAGGCTGCTTTATAATTAGAATGTGTGTATGTGTGTGTGTTTGAGTCAGGGTCTCACTCTGTCGCTCACATCGGAGTGCAGTGGCATGATCATGATAATCACAGTTCATGACAGCCTTAACCTACTGGGCTCAGGTGATCCTTCCACCTCTGCTTCCTGAATAGCTGGGACTACAGGCACATGCCACCACAACCAGCTAATTAAAAAAAATTTTTTTATTTGGTAGAGACGAGTTTTTGCTATGTTGCCCAAGCTCGTCTCAAACTTCTGGGTTCAAGCAGTCTGCTCTCCTCAGTCTCCCAAAGTGCTGAGATTACAGGTATGAGCCACTGTACCTGGCCCAAATGTTGACTCTTTGAAGGTAGGGACACCTTATGTATCTCCTGGGTATCTAATGGTGCCATGCAAATTGCCAATACTTACCTGCAGCCTCAGCAAGCAGACATCCCCAAAGGGGGCAGGGCGGCCCAAGAGGGCACTATGAACTTGTAGTTCGCTCTCTCTCACTTTCTGCTCCAGTTGAGAGATGTGTTTCCTCTGCCTGCAAAAACCCAGTAGAATCAGATTGGGGCCCTGACAATAATACTGATTCCCTCACATAAATACAAGCCTCTACTCTCCTTAGGTAAGTATAATCCCTATTATGTAAGCAAAGACCTTGGATTCTGGACATCATTGTTTTGCTAAAGGAGGAAGAGCAAATAAGGAAGATGTCTGAGGTGAAATGAGGAAAGATAAGCTGCAATGAACCACCTACACCCTTTTGGAACCCCTAGAGTCCCTGAAGAGATACACAACTGGCCTATCATTAGTCATATACAAGACTAGGCTGCTCATCAATCTACCTCTATCATGAGGCAAGATGTGGGCCTAAACAAATGGGGATGCACAGCCTTCAGGAAGACTTCATTGATCAGATGCCCTCAGTGGGGCCTGGGAGAACAGAGGTTCACCCAAGGTACCCCTCACCCAAGGTACACCCTCACCCAAGGTACCCCTCATCTTACTTGTCAATGAGAAGCTCTTTTTCCTTCAGAAGATGTTCATTACTGTTCAAGATGCTGATCCACTGTGCTGGCTCTAAGATGGGCAGTGAAGGAGCAAAAGCAGCAGGATGGTGGCAAATGGCTCCATTCTGAAGCTGAAAGACAAAGAGGCCCAGAGGGGCTTCATCTTGACTCATACATGCCTGAAAACACCTGAGCAGTACTCAGCTGGGTCTGCCATCAAGGCCCAGTTTGGCTCTGCCTGATAAGGCCCAATGTTTACAAAATAATTTTAGCTCTGATGCATGACTGGAAAGAACCTGCCAGGGAGATTTCTGCCAACTGAACACTCCCTGCTCAGAAAGGCTCTCGTTTCTAAGAAAAGGTCAGATATCTTTTATTATCTGGCAACAGAGGCAAAACAGGAGCTAAGATGTCCTCACCAACCAAGAAAGGAGAGTATGTTTGCTCCCAATTCCTACTCTTTAGCAGCACAAGGACTTTTAAAAAGGAAAAAATACAAAAGTGGTATAGTGGAAAGAATACAGGGGTTCAAAAACATTTTTTAGACACTAACTCTGATACCAGCTTTGTGACCCTGGACAGATGGCTTATTCTAAGAACCTGGTAAGTTTCTACATTTACCTCAAAGTGTACTATGAAGATTAAATATGACTCTGTATGTGAAAGTACTTAGCCTAGTGACTGACATTGGCACATATTTGGGTTTCCCCTTGTAGCCCTCTACTACTCTGAAGAACCTATCTGATGTTTAATTAGACCATCAACAGATTCAATGGCCAAGAGCTCACAAGCTTTCATTTCCTGTCTACAAACATCTTCCTGGCCTGGGTGCGGTGGCTTACGTCTATAATCTCAGCATTTGGGAGGACAAGGTGAGAGGATCACTTGAGCCTAGAAGTTCGAGACCAGCCTGGGCAACATAGTGAGACCCTGTCTCTAAAATAAATTAATTAATTAAAAAAAATAAAAATAAATCTTCCTTCTTTCTTACAGATGTTTTATTCAAAGTCAAAACTTAAAGGACAAAAGCTATAAAGTTCTAAGTACCACACAGAACCTATAAAATCCAAGGAAAAAAGGTCTCTACCTGCATTTGCTCCATCTGTAAACGGATCAATTCCAGCTGCTGCCGGCAAGTGCTGAGTTCACAAGATTGCTCGTGGGGATGCCAAATATCAGGACTCGGCTGCCACACCTGAGATGGCAGAGGCTTGGAGAGCCCAGGGGCAGGCTGGAGTCCCAAAGGGAGGATCCCGCTGCTGCCAGAGTGTGGTCCATTCCGCTCAAATACTGCCCCGCTGCCTGGTGCCTTCTTAGCTTCAGGCAGCACTTTGTATAAGTCCTTGCTTGTGTTGGTTCTTGGACTGTGGAAGTGAACTTGGTAGTGGGGATCTGAATACAGTGTCTCCATCATTGCCGACTGATTAAGGGTAGATTCCATGCTAGGAATATCAAACTTCCTCACCTCTTTCTCTCTTTCATGGCCCACCGCTGGAAACCAGGACTGCTGAATTCCATTTTCTCCTGTAGCACCACAGAGATACATGAGATCTCTAGATAGGCCTGGAGAACGTTTCATTGCACCGAGGTCTCCGTTTTTTGTCATTCCCACACTTTCAGCCAATCCTGACAAAGGGAGTTTGGAGGAAGAGGGTCCAGCAAGTGTAGAATTTGGCTTGGTAGGAGAGGTCCCTAAAGTAGAAGGCATCACATGAGCTGTTGGAATGGTTACGTGGCTTTTGATGGGCTGGAAAGAAGGGCTGCCATTTGAGCTGCAAAAATCTGCGGAGAGAATAGTCTTCCATGAGTAAAAATTGAAGCAGCAAGTTTTCTTGAGTTTGAGTGCTAAGCCAGAAGTTCTCTGTCTGTCCCGAAACAAAGCAGAGAGAATACTGTCATCAGAAGTATCAGGCAGAAAGACACGGCAACCAAACTGGGATACATGTGTACTGGGACCTCAAATATCATTCACATGGTAACCCAACAAAAAGCAATCACGGCTTCACTTTAACTTTGTACTTGAATACAAAAATCTTGCCAGTCAACAAAGTTGAAAACCGAACTTTAAAAAAAACATCACTTACTTAAGGGAAATGAATTAGGTCCTACTCTTCTGAAAGCTGGGCAACTCCAAGCTATAATCCAATCTAATAATATTATTGCCAAAGGCTACCAGAATCCTCTGGGGCCTCCAAAAACTGCCTGAAGAATAAAGCAAACTAGGCAGTCCTGCTTAGTATCCAGGGAAGGGAACACAGCATCTGAGTCAAGATTCTGTTCGCTCTCCCACACCCCAGACCCGACTGCCTGGATATGTCTGGTTATTCTTAGTAACTCTCAGGTTTCACTCTAGCACAGTGAGCATTCTCAACTGGGTACACACTGAAATCCTCGATTTTATATTTTGCCTTTCCTTTGCCCCCTTGTGTGTACTGTGATTTTTAACTTTTCCTTCAGACTGGATTTATGTTCGTTTGGCTTCTGCCTGGTCTTGGGAGACACCTCTCTGATTAGCCCTAGCATAGAAGGTTCCCATTTCCACCTATTTCCAGCTGTCAAGAGCTACTCTGAGGAGGACCACAAGGTCACAGAACGAATGTGCCTGGACAGTGGGCTACAAGCAAACAATAAGGCAGGAATGTGAGGTAATATACTTATTACTTTCAGCAGGCAGAAAGCTAAATACGGAGACAAGGAATATCACTTTCTTCTCTTTTCAATTATGTCCAGTCCTCTTTTTCCAAGTCAAGCACATCTACTATAGAGAAGAGGGACTACCAGTTTGTTTCTGTTTGATCTCCCCACCAACCAACAAAGAGCACACTCAGATGATAAGGACAGATACTACAACCTTTCCGAAATTATATGAGTATAGAACAGCTACCATCTTCTCATTAAGCAGCTCTTTAAAAGAAGGGCAAGCCACCGCATACCTATCATATAAAAAACATGAAAGATAACAAGTGTTGGTGAGGATGTGGAAAAAAGGGATCTCCAGTACATTGTTGGTAAGAATGTAGATTAATAGTCATTGTGGCAAATAGTATGGAGGTGCCACAAAAAACTAAAAATAGAGTTGCCATATGATCCAGCAATCCCGCTTTTGGGTATATATCCAAAGGATTTAAAATTGGTATGTCAAAGGTATTTACACAGCCAAGCTCAGTGGCTCAGCCTGTAATCCCAACACTTTGTGAGGCCGAGGCGAGTAGACTGCCTGACTGAGCCTGTGGGCTTGAGACCAGCCCAGACAACTTGGCGAGACCTCATTTCTACAATAAAAATTAAAAATTAGCTGGGCATGGTAACGCGTGCCTGTAGTTCCAGCTACTTGGAAGGCTGAGGCAGAAGGACCGCTGGAGCCCAGCAGTTTGATGCTGGGGTGGCTGTGAGCATGCCACTGCACTCTAGCCTGGGTGACAGAGTGAGACTCCAATTCAAAAAAAAAAAAAAAAAGGTATTTAGTGAATCATTATTCACAATAGCCAGGTTATGGAATCAACTGATGAATGGATAAGAAAAATGTAGTATACATACACAATGGAATACTATTCAGCATTGGTCAGGCGTGGTGGCTCATGCCTATAATCCCAGCACTCTGAAAGGTTGAGGAAATACGATAGCTTGAGCCCAGAGTTCAAGACCAGCCTGGGCAATGTAGCAAGAGCTTGTTTCCGTTAAAAAATAAAAATTAAAAAATTGCAGGATGTGGTGGTGGGTGCTACTCAGGAGGATGAGGATTGCCTGAGACCAGGAGGTCAAGGCTGCAGTGAACCATTATCTCAACTTAGAAAAAAGAAAAAAGAAATACTATTCAGCCTTAAAAACAGAGGGAAATTATGTCATTTGTGACAACATGGATGAACCTAGAAGACATTATGCTAAGTGAAATAAGCCAGGCACATGAAGACAAATACTGCAAGTTCTTTCTTACACGTGGAAGCTAAAACAAAAATTGAACACACAGAAACAGAGAGTAGAAATATAGTAACAGAAGCTGGGGTGTGAGAGGAATGGGGACATGTTGGTCAAAGGGTAGGGTGTTTCAGTTAGACAAGAAAAATAAATATTTGGGGAAAAAATGTGCAAACTTTTAGATGATGTATGCAGAGTATCTAATTTCCTGTACTCAGATGATTGCGGGTATATATAAAAGGCTACACATACACTCATACACACACACACACCCCTGAACAGGCGACACACACACACACACACCCCTGAACAGGCTACACACA